CTGGACTCGCTGGGGATGCGTGTAAACGAACAGAAAAGCGTGTTCACACCGAGTCAGACCACAACATTTCTGGGAGTGTGCTTGAACTCTATAACGATGCGAGCCCATCTCTCTCAAGAGTGCATAAGGTCTCTGACTTTGTCTCTGGACCGTTTCAGACCGGGCAGGTCTGTGCCACTAAAGGAATTTCAGAGGCTGTTAGGTCTGTTGGCGGCAGCCTCCCCAGTGTGTCATCTGGGGCTGTTGCATATGCGCCCTCTTCAAATCTGGTTGAAGCTCCGAGTCCCTCGGGGGGCGTGGTCGTTCGGACTCAGGCGCATCACGGTCACCCGCAGCTGCATTCGCACTTTGGTACCGTGGAAAAACCCAGCGTTATTCAGTTCAGGGGTTCCGATGGGCACCGTGGCGCATCGCACCGCAGTCTTGACGGATGCATCAACCTCAGGCTGGGGAGCAGTGTGCATGGGCGCGACTGCCTCAGGCTTATGGACGGAGTCGCAGCGAACGTGGCATATAAACCGCTTGGAATTGATGGCGGTTTCCTTAGCCCTCGAAGCCTTCCGGTCACAGTTAGAGCGTCAGCATGTACTGATTAGGACCGACAACACGTCGGTGGTCTCATACATAAATCGCCAGGGAGGCGTGCGCTCCAGACTCCTATTCGAGCAGGCGGCGAGTCTCCTGCTGTGGGCAGACCGGCACTTTCTATCCGTGAGAGCGGCGCATATTCCCGGTGTTTTGAATCGCGGGGCGGATATGCTCTCGAGGAATGGGATTCCTCATGGAGAGTGGAGGCTTCACCCGGGATCGGTGCAGATGATCTGGGATCGGTTCGGGAGGGCGGAGGTCGATCTGTTCGCCTCGAGCGAGAACGCGCACTGCCAGGCGTTCTTCTCGCTGTCTCGTTCCCCCTTGGGACGGACGAACGACGCCTTGACTTCGCGCTGGCCGAGAGCCAGACTTTACGCCTTTCCTCCGGTGAAGATTCTGCCCACAGTGTTATGCAAAATCAGGGAGGAGAAAGCGTCTGTGATTCTCGTAGCCCCGAACTGGCCGAATCAGCCCTGGTTCGCGGACATGATGGAATTACTGGTGGACTCCCCGTGGGAAATTCCGCTCAGGAGAGACCTGTTATCGCAGGCGAACGGCACGGTATGGCACCCCAACCCCGGGCTGTGGAACCTTCATGTATGGCCGCTGCGGGGACTCTGAATGAGCGGGACGCTCTGCACTCTCGAGCGATGAGCACTATCGCTGAGGCGCGCGCCCCATCCACTAGGCGTTTATACAGATTGAAATGGGAAGTTTTCTCTAAATGGTGCCAGGATATCAGTATTGACCCGGGTAATTGCGCCGTGTCGGATATTCTACGCTTCCTTCAGTACAGGAAGGATAATGGGAGTTTACCGTCCACTCTGAAGGTGTATGTGGCTGCTATTTCTGCATTTCGCCTCCCGATCGAAGGACAGTCGATCGGTAAACATGCATCGGTGATCAGTTTTCTCAGGGGAGCTAGGAGATTATGTCCGTCACGGCCGCCTTCTGTGCCGCCGTGGGATTTAGCCCTAGTGTTGAGGGCTCTGTCTCTTCCACCGTTTGAGCCACTGGCTTCGATTGCGGTCAAGGAGCTTTCCCTGAAAACTGCTTTGCTTCTCGCTCTTGCTTCAGCGAAACGTGTGGGGGACCTGCAAGCTTTCTCGGTTCACGAGGACTGCATTCGTTTTGGACCAGGAGACTGTAATGTCACTCTTCGGCCAAGACAGGGGTACGTTCCGAAGTCACTCAATACTCCGTTCAAAGCGCAGGTTGTTTTACTGCCTGCATTGTCTTCTGAGTTATCAGTCTCGCGTGATATCGATGCTCAGAGCGCTGTTTGCCCAGTCAGGGCTTTACGGATGTATATGACTCGCTCAGCCGCTTTTCGTCAATCGGATCAGCTATTTGTATGCTTTGGCGGTTGCAACAAGGGACGTGGAGTTTCGAAACAGAGGCTTGCTCACTGGATTGTGGATGCTATTGCCTTGGCTTATGATTGCCAGGGGGTGGTCTGTCCCCTCAACATTAAGGCTCATTCGACGAGGGCGGTCGCCTCTTCGTGGGCCTGGTCCAGAGGTATGTCTATAAGGGACTTGTGTCTTGCTGCTGGCTGGTCTTCTCAGAATACGTTCGCCAGATTTTATAAGTTGGATGTACCTTCTGTTGCGTCTCAAGTGCTTTCGGTGAGCTGAGCCTTCAGGTTGTGCATGAATGCTTGATTTATGTGTTGTGCTTATGCAACTGTCGCCGCTTTGCTGCTGACTTGTATTATACTTGCTATTACTCTGTGTTGTTCTGCCCTGAATGATTCAGTGCAAGACTTCCCTCTATTCATTTGCTTGGGATATGCAAATTTTGATGAGGTTTAGACAGCGCGCTATTGGCTCGCTTCGCCCTATCAGGAGCTCGTATTTCTAGTAGCGCAGCTATTGGATGAGGGTTCTGTCATTCTCGAGTGGGTGGGTTCTCTGCTCCACGGCGGGATTTGACACAGTTCCCATACTACGTCATCGACGTAAATGTCGAAGTGACCGCCTTGAAAGGGAACGTCTCCGGTTACTTTCGTAACCTCGGTTCCCTGAAAGGCAGGGAACGAGACATTTACGTCGAACGCCGTGTCGCTTGTTCATTCGAGCGTTCAGTCGTATTCTGATGCAATTGACGTGCGTATGCATTTTATACTGCCAGCAGGCGTGTCAGTATTTGCATATTTTGCGTCAATTGGCCAGCTGTCTCCAGCTGGCGTTAGCCCATAAGATTTCAGCAGAAGTGAAGAAGGGGAGGAGTTCCCATACTACGTCATCGACGTAAATGTCTCGTTCCCTGCCTTTCAGGGAACCGAGGTTACGAAAGTAACCGGAGACGTTAACCAATGTTTACAGACCTTATTGTAAAGTGTTACCAATATGCTACTGATGCAGTGAGATCCAAGCAGACAAGCAATGATTATGTCAGAGATCAAATTTGAATCAGGAATTGCACATTTTATTAAAATGTAAAATTATAGAGACCAACAAAGGAATCAAGCAGATATTAAAACTGTAATAGCAAATATGTTTAGAAAAATAAATCTATATTAATATCTAAAATCCAACAGATGAAGATTGTGAAGATCAGAAAGAAGGACCCAAAAGAAGAATAAAAGGAGAGGAAAGAGAAGAAGAAGCAGAGTCTTCTGAAACTAAACATTTTATATGCTGTGCTTATGTAACAGGAAAGAATTAGGGAAAGTACCAGACATATTTTGATACCAAAAGTCACATCCGGCAGGTGGAGTGCCCTTAAGCTCCACCAGAGGGCACTCTTCCAGACTCCTGGGCTTTTCCATTATTAACTTCTTTTTCCAGTATCCTATCCATTGTCTGTTCTCATGATTGCGTGACTTGTCTGCCTATTTAAGACCTGTGTTTTCATTCTCACTTTGTATAGTCTTGTTTTGTGTTACACTGCTATTCTGAGTGCCTGTATCCTGGTTTCCCTCGTCTTGTCCTATTCTTCTGCTCGTTGTTCTGGATATACTTGTTTGCCTGTATTGGTGGACTCGAACGTAACATTTATAATTAATAACATCATCACAATGGAGTGTGAACAATATGAAATGTGAACAATTAAAACAAATATTTTAAAAGCAGCATTATGATGTAGAGTTCATCAGTCTCCCTTGTCCCTTCTGGAAATATGCTATTTCTTAGCCTGGTTCTGGCCCTAATGCTGCGCAAATTCCTTCCTGAAGGGAGAGTGGATCAATTTTCGGTGTGGGCAAGGTCCCTCATAATACATAATGTCATAATACATAATGCCCTCCTTCATCTGGTGATGTAAATGTTGCTTTCTATAAATGATAATTCTCTAGGCAGACTTAACTATACCGCTCTAGTGCCCTCCTGTCAGAAACAGAACAATTCCCCATCAAACGGTGATACAGAACGTGGGCACACTTTCCACCATACATTTATAAAAGGATGTGAGGACTGAAAAGCCAAGGCCAGCATGCTTTATTTTTTGCTTTCGTTTATTTCGTTTTTTGAAGTCGTTTATGGGCCTTCTTTATCAGACTGGCCATTGTTACTCCAGGTGAGCTCATCAATGAAATGCACTCCTATTTGAAGCTGGGAGACCAACTCAACGGCTACTCCTCCGATGTCTATAGAGGAGGGATGATACCTCCCTTCCTAAAATCCACAATCATCTCTTTTGTTTTTTCACATTATTGCATTGGTTATTTGCTCTGCACCAAACCTCCATTCGTTTCACCTTCTGTCTGTACTTTGACTCATTGTTGGAAATGAAACCCACCACAACTGTAGGCCTATATCGTCTGCGAACGTAATACGAGTGCTCAAACCTTATACAGTCTATGGCTCGAACACGTGGCTGTGCAATAAGAAAGTGTACAGAAGGGGGCTCAAGACACAGCGCTGGGGGGAGCCGTTATTAAAAATAATGGTGGAGGATGAGAGGTTATGAATTCTGACACTGTAGCCTATTTGTTAAGAAATCCAGCAGTATCCAGTTACTAATGAGGGTAATATCAAGCCTGTGTTCTTACAGAGTGATTATCTGTGGTTGTTATCATTTGTAGCCTAGTCACACTGAATAAAACGTAGGCTATGCTGAATGATGTACATTTTCTATTTAAGATGAAGTTTTAAAAACTTTCATTTAGCAACTCTGGCACTACCTGAACTTTTATTTTCTTGTAGCCTGCAATTTTTTGTTGTTGTTGTTGTAATCAGATAGAAAATCCCAAATTTTGTCTCTATCACTAATTATCAACAAAAATTAGCTAGATTTATGGCACAAAACTTTGATAGGCAGTCCTAAATATATAATAATAACGTATACTGGCACACTGTTGCAATAAATATACGTTAAATGTATGTGATCAACACCACCCCCTTGCGAATATTGATTACTCGGAAAGCCGCCCTTATAGCCTACCTGAAACGAAAGCGAAACTGCTCTCTACTACTTCATCACGGTATGTGTGTTGTCTTATCTGTTTATTTATAATTAGCCTTGCAAAATGAGTTATAATTGGGCTACACAACAAAAAAGTAGGGTAGAATGGTTTTACCGAATATAGGTCACTCAACTCGTTTATTGTACGATGTTTTGTCGTTGTTAAAAAGGTAGTCGCGACAGACGCAGTGACGTGAAAGTGTTTAATGTCAGCATAATTCAATTTAAAAAAAAAAGAATGAAGAAAACAAACCAAATAAGTAAAAAAGGTGTATTTTCCTGTTTGTTTCATAGCGCTTTTTTGCGACGTCAACAACTCGTCTTGCTGTTGAGTTTCATGAGTCATACTAAAGCTTTAGTAACTACAGTTTATAGTTTATAAACTGGAATAGCTGAGTTCGGACGGAAAAAAATTCTATATTTTCTATATTTTAAGAATCACATAGTTTATAAAGAATGATCTTCTTCTGTCTTCTTGGGTAACCGTGCTTTCTGTTTGGTCACAGGTTCTTGCGTTGGTAGAAATGTCTACTGAGGTAAAGGAAGTGATCTGACAAAGGTTTTTTTGTTGTTGTTTGTTTTGCATTTGATTCTGTATTTAGTACATTGACCCTGTTTGTCTTGTCTCTCAACTCAGGATTTCTCTCTTGTTATGGACGGTGATTCTTTGGACAGTAAACAGAAGGAGATCCAAAAATGCAAGGTTTGTGAGTGGCTTGTTAAGCTGGATACCTGTCAACCAAAATTCAAGGCATTAACCATTATGTCCATTCTGTCCGCAGAAAATACATGAAGCGTTATTGAAGGATCAAAAATTACTGAAAGATGGCATTGATATGAACAAAAACTTTGCCAAGGAATTTAGACAACGAGCTGAGGAGAGGAAAGTGTCAATTGAGGAAGAAACCAAGAAATGTACTAAGACAATTCAGAAAGAGAAGGTCTGTATTATAAGATATACACATAATATAGCCTAGCCTATATTAGTTCGTTAATGGGTTCCTCTGTGTGCAGGAGAAATGCAGTATTATACAGGAGGAGCAAAGCAGGCTACAGATGGACATCATGAAAATGAAGGAGGAGTTGCAAAGCCTGGACCGTAAAAACAGCAGTCTGAAAAAACAAACTGAGGTTTACAGTGTCAAAATATATAAAATATATTCACAAAATTATTTTGACTAGTATTCTAAACATTTTCTATATTTTCCTTTATATTCATATACATTTGACCCTAAAATCTCAAATGCATCAACTGTGAGATTAACACGACTGTACGTTGACTCCACAGATCTCTACAGCGGTGCCTGAGAGGAGAGTTGTTTTTCAAGGAAAGACAAAAGAGGGTGCGCATGCTGTGAGTTTCGATGTGAATTCCCGTATAGTTTATCCGATGGAGGGTGGAACAGCATTGATCACCTTTGAGGAAGAGGATGGTATGTAGCATCATCACAGTTAAACTGTAATTAAGAATTTCTACTCATTTACGCAACGTCATTCCAAACCTGTATGATTTTCTTTCACAAAATAAACACAACACAAAATAAGATATTTTAAGTAATTTTTCTAGTGTTTTTGACCATACAATGAAAGTCAATGGGGTCTGAAAAAACACTGAACAACTGAATAACCTTTTTGACTTAATTGTCCACAACAATATTCGAAGGCCCCCAACCATATCTTTATTTTTAAAACTTATTTTAATAAATGGTCACTCTTAGTTCTTCAAAGAAGAAAAAAGAGAAACAAACAGTTGTTTTTATTATTGTTTTAAAGTATTCACTATAAAAAAAAAAAAGATCAATAAGTTATAACAACATGTTTTTACATTGCTTTAACTCATCAAAATAAGTTTGATTTTCAACTTTTTAAGTTATAGTAGATTCAACTCATTTTTTAAGTCAGTTAAATGCAATTTAAGTTGAAATGACTTAAACAATAATTTAAACCAACACATGGTGACTGTACTAAAAAATGTATAGCAGCAATTTTTTTAAGTGTTCATTGCATGACCAAAACACAAAACACTGAGACATTTTTTTTTAAATCACTGTAATACACAGGCTTTTGTGGATTATTGTTTATTAACTTCTCTTCCTTCATTCAAATCTCTTCTGATCCTGTATCTTTAGTGGCTCAGAAAATCTTGAGCCAGAAGCAGCATAAGGTGGAGCTTGGGGACTGTGCCATCACTGTGCAGGCTAAACCCATTCAGTTCCTGGTACCTGATTATGTTGAGGTAATGGAGACAAGCTGACTTCTGTTTACCTACATGGATTGTATGTATATTATGGACTGCATTGTGTTGCTATGGAATATCATGACATAAAACGTCTTACTCTTTCTCTCTCCATCTGTTAGATGGAAACACAGGTGTGCCCACGCAGAATCCTGGTCTCTAACCTGCCAAATGAAGAACCTGAGGACAGAGCACTGGACAAACTGGATATCTATTTTTCTAAGAAGAAGAACGGAGGCGGCGAGGTGGAGGACACAGACATGCTGCATGACTCTGGCACTGTGGTCATTACCTTCGTAGATGATAATAGTACGTTAACCAAATTCATGCAATCCGACATATCTCCGCACAAGATGCTAGAAGTGTTTTTCTAATTCTTCTATTTGTTTCTCATTTGTCTTCAGTTGCCAAACGTCTCTCAGACAAACAGGATCATGAGGTAGATTTTGGTAGGAAGAAGTACAAGGTGAAGGTCACTCCATTCCTCAATGGCGAGATTTCACAGATGAAGGTATGTCACGATACTTTAAAACTGTTAATACCGGTGTTGATAATGATGTAAACTGACTGTTGCTCCCTCTCAGATCTGTAACTCCGATTGCATGCGCACAGTGCTGCTTACGGGCATCCCTGACATCATGGAGAAAGACAACCTACAGGACAACCTGGAGATCCACTTCCAGAAGACAACCAATGGTGGAGGAGAGGTGGAAGGCATCCTCTACAACCCTCTGGGCCACACCACCCTGGCTTTGTTTGAAGAAGACTCTCCTAAAGACAGCCAGACCGAGTGAGAAAGCTAATAAACCTCTACAGCCCAGAGATCTAATGCTGCCAGTAGATGACAAAATAGAGAATTTATTCATAATAGACTATATGAAACTCTTTATGAACTTTGATTTGGGACTCAAGACAGAGTATGGATCTAATATGTACTTCATAATCCTTTATAGTCTATACATTATATAATAACATACTCCATGGATACAATTTTTTTCTTATTTACAATCCTTAGTTGTATTCTTTGTCTTTTGATGATACAAATGTTGTCAGATTGAGTTGTATGGGTTAATCTGAATCACAAACTATTGCTATTTATGTGAAAACAACAAAATCTTAAATAAATGTGACAAAACCATCATTGTGATGCTTATGATACAGTAATAGGAACCTATTGAAACCAAACCCAAAACAAAAAAGAAAATAGAAATTATATTCTGCGCAATTAAGACCATTTTTTTCTTTTACATGACACAATCTTATTTTGTTTAGATTTTTTTTCTCACAGTTCATTCTCATTACTGTAATAAAATGTTTTTTTATAATTTGTCATTTACTTATAGTGATTATATCTAATAAGATTAAGAAGCTATTAAGAAAATACATTTCAATTTTATATTACAATAAGATAAAAAGTCAGTCTCACAAATACTACCATGAAGTATTCATATTTTACCATTTAAATAAATCCATATTTTGTTGGCATTACAGTAATGAGAAATGTTGTCAGAAATGTGCTTATTTGTCACAGAAAAAAAATTTAACAAAAAAATCGTAATGTTACTTAAAACAAAATATTTTTCGCTAACACTATTTTTCGGTAACTTTGCACCTACATGTCAACTACCAATCATTAGAGTGTTAGTGATTGTCTGCTTAATATTTGCTAACACTTTATTTTGATGCTCCCTCCACAGACATGACAGTAAGTAACTTTGCAAGTACACGTCAACTTATTCTACTAACTCTAACCTGACAGTCTACTAGAGTTAGTTGACATCAGGTTGACATGCAGTTGCAAAGTTACTAGTTAATAGAAAGTCTAAAGTGGACCATCGAAATAAAGTGTAACTTGGGATAAAATATAAATCAGACATGTTCTTGACAAGTGACATTCAGTCACTAATGTGTGCAGGACATTTTTACAGCGACAAAATAATTTATGAAACCACGCATGAAAGCAAACTAGACCTGCAGAAACAAATATTTGTAGGTGGTTGAAGCAATAGGCATGTTATACTTTGGACGCAAATGGAGTTTATTTGTAAAAATACAGTAACAGGAAAAGTAAAGACATCTCCCCCAAAAACCACCAAAACAAACCAACCATGAACACAACAGCAGCCCCCTCAGCACAGTAATGATAAATGTATAAGATAACTCAAGAGACGAAGTAACAGCCAACTCCATCAGGCACTTAGAAGAGAGATGTGGAGTGCACGGATTAAAATGCAAGTTTAAAATGAAGACGACAAAAAAAATGAAATAAGAGGGTGTTCACAAAGAATAAAAAAAAGACAGCCGATGTGTATTCTAGCCATAACCACTAAAACGACACCAGAAATAAGTTAAAACCAATCAATTCTACATGTTCAGCAAACATTACATATTTAACACACATGTAAAGGTCACATTGCTGTACCAGATATCATATAGTCAACACACACAGCCTAGTGATGATCACCTACGATTATCACATCAACATTTTTCTAGTGGTCTCTAAGAGCTGCTATGTCTGGGCTGTCCTGAAGCCCTTTGTGCGTGCATAAGTTCAGCTCACGGTTTTAAATCATCTAAATCTGGTGATAATATATTGTCCTTGAAGTAGCATCCTCCTCTAGATAAACATATACAATAATTTACAGTTTCTTTACATTTTGGACATAAGAAGACCAATTTAGTGTATTTTAAAAGAAAACAGAACGGTTTAAATTGAAGCAAAATGAATAAATGCATGTCCCCTTGATAGTAAGAAAAGCATGACAGTACGTTCTCTTACATTACACAAAATAAACAAGCAGCCTCAGCGAATGAACATTTACATTAAAATCAATATGTGCTGAAGTCTGATCCTTCTCAACTGCCTGATTTCTTACCCCTCAATATACAATTTTAAATGTTGATAGTTACGTTTTCAGCTATTTTAGGAAATGGCGAACACGACTGGTTGGAAAAACAAAAGACAACCTTAAAGACAGGACCAGCAACTACATCAAGGAGAACATATTTGCTTGTGCCTTTGTACCTAGAGCTACTTGTATATGGCTTATGACGCTTGTGCTCGACAGGTTTAAGGACGATTTCTAGTGCAAGCAGGATGTAAAGTCATTTGGAAAGACTATATATTTAATAGGTGGTTTTCCATTTAGAAAGGTTGTTGTTACTGTAGAATAACACCCCTGTCAATTTAGTCCACACAAACACGTGAGATGAGAGGTTTTAGACACGAAACCTGCATGAGATCAGTTAGACGACCAGCGGTGCCCAGTCCTTCTGAGTGCGCCCATACTGTACATGGAGAAACAGAGCAGAAGTTTAGGATGGAAAAGGAAAATTATGAACTTATTATGAATTCAAGAGTAATTCCAAAAGTAACAGGATTTTACCTGGATGTCAGTGAGCTCCTTATGGAATCTCTTGGCCAGGTCTGGACCGTTCTTCATTGTAGGAATTTGGTAGGTCTAAAAAAAAAAGGTTTTCAATAAATGTAGTAATATATTTCACTTCAACCAGCACACTCTAGGGGTGCTTCTCAATTCTTATTGGTGCATCCTCGTTTCCTTTCCTCATGTCTCAGCTCCACCCTTTGTAGGATGCGAGGGAAGGCTGCGAGGAAAGAAAAGGAGGACGGAGGAATCGAATGAAAGCTTTTTTATATATTGGAATACTTGATCACTCGAGCATCACTTCATACTTCACTGATGACGCTCATCAGCTGCGCTCAAAGGATCTGCCCATATGTTGTTAAAGTTTGTTTTTTTAAGAAATTCATAATAAATAATAATAAAGCAAGATACCCTGTTGAAATATGTGAGATGTGTGGTTTATATAAACGGCAAAGGTAAAGTATAAATTAAAATGATTGTGACCGACGTGAAGGGGGAGGAGAATGAATACGTGCGTCACGTTTAGTCGATAAAACACTTCTGCAAAGGATACACCAGTGTATCCTCGCTCATAACTCCTCTGAAAGCTTCCTCACTCCTCGTTCCTCTCCTCCTCGTGGTGCAATTAGAGAATTGAGATGGCTGAGCTCGATCAGTTTCCGGGTTGTAGTATGGAGGATGGAGGATGGAGGAGCGAGGAAACGAGGAGGGATATTGAGAAGCACTCCAGGTGTTTACAAGTGCTGTCAACAGAGACTGACAGTTATTCGTAAACTTAGACACTTGTCTGTTCCGCCTCGCTGTCGTCTTCTTTTGTATCACAGTATTAGTGTATATATATATATATAGTATATATAGACAGTTCTAATGTATGGTGCCATTTGTTTCTTTCGTATGTTAACAGTTACCAATCTGCCAAAAGATAACATATTTATCTAGTAAAATTATTGGTATCCCTAATTTATCGGGCAGTGTCTTTACATTCACGCTCTGTAACGCACATAAAATCTTAAATGACCTAAACCACCCCGTCTATCAATATTTCATTCCCCTTCCTTCTGGCCGTAGGTATAGTTTACCCATGTGTAGTAAGAGTTTTGTTCCTGTAGCTATACGAGCTTTAAATACATAGGAAATCGGCCATTGATGCGTCATCTTATGCTTTCACTTTTCCTTTCTTTTTTTTGTGATATGTGATATGTCTGATTGTTTTGATTGTGTTATGATAAGTTGATAAGTTAACATGTTTTGTGTCATGTTATGTACGCATCTGCGGTGGAAACAAATTTCCTCTTAAGTACAAATAAATTATCATAATTTTTATTAAGCTGTAAAAATGCATTCAATGGACATTTGCATTAGAGAGCCGAAGTGTGCATTTCCTGTTACCTTTCCTCTGTAGAGCAGACTGCCAACTGGACACACCACACAAGCAGTACCAGAACCGAACACCTCCAGAACCCGTCCATCATCTAAAGCGCCTATCAGATCCTGCATTAATACTTGGCGCTCTGTCACTTTGAAGTCCCCCTAAAAAACACACACAACCGTTACAAAACCTACTGTGGTGGAATCATGATACAGGTATGGCAAACAGACATCTTGGTACTTGATAAATTAAATAACATGCTATGGAACGATTACCATAGTCATATACCAGCTGTTGGGAAACTGACTCGTGAGCCACACCTGGCTCTTTGACAAAAAACACGTCTCACCAGGTCTCGCACTCTTTACCAACAAAAAGCCATGCACAATTAATTCCATATTGCAACTCTATTATTTGTTGTATATTTGTTTGTTTTTAGTTGTCTATGGACCTGAAATAAAAAGTTACTAGTATTGAAATGGTATTGAACAAAACTTTTTAAAAATAATATTTATATATATATATATATATATATATATATATATATATATATATATATATATATATATATATATATATATATAATTTTTTTTTGCTGTGGCTCTTTTGTAAAAATGCATTAACCAAAAATGAAAAAGAATTGTTCTTTGGTCAAAAAAGGGCTCCCAACTCCGTTCATATACTATGGTATGGTACTAAAAAGAATAGCATGGTGTTAGCATGGCACATGTCCTTAATGTGTCATTGTCATATCATTGACATTGTTATTAGCGTACAAATAGTTCTTTAATCAAGCAAACTTTTTGCTAATATATATATAATAGACAGACAGATAGATAAATAGATAGATCTAATCTTCCTTCCCTGCTCAAAATCCCTTTCACTTGTAAGCAACTCTCCATTTCACTTTTTCTTCAGCATTTTCCATTAGCATTTCATATTTCTCTTTCTCTCACCCATTCTCTTGCGAGGTCCAGCAGCGCCTGCCTGGTGACTCCTGGAAGAATGACGCCATCAAGTGGAGGGGTGACAAGCTCTTTCTCTACAAAGACACATAAATGTCCACAAATAGATTGAGATACATTAGTACATATCGCCAGCAGGGGGAGACAAGCATCATCATTCCACATGGAATACTGAACTATAAACTAAATGAACATCTTGCCAAAATATACAGCAGGGCTCACTGCATGAGAAACTGTATCCCACAATGCAATGCACTTGAATTGACCTGGCTATTCTGAGAGTGAGATATGAACCAAAAGCAATATCCATTGTGATTTTTAACACTTGCTTTTTTTTTGTCTCTTCAGGGCTCCCACACCTTTTGATACATTTATTTCCATATATTTTCCATTCCTTCATGATTATCGAATAAGGATAGAAAAAAAAAACACAGATTTTAAACAAACAAAGAACAAGTTCTAGCCAAGTAAATATTTTAGAGAAGAGCACAACTTAAGTTATAATTTCTATAATGAATATAATTAGACATAGAGATTATTCATTTTCAAGACTTTTCTGGGCCTGCATATCTTAATTTCCTGCTATCTCTGACAGGAACTGCAGAAACCCTGTAAGGTATTTTTACACATACACACACGGTTTACAGGGACTCTCCATAGGCATAATAGTCTTTATACTGTACAACCTGTATATTCTATCCCCTTACATTAAACCAGTGTTTCTCAAACTTTTTCTGCCATTCCCCACTTTGAAGGTAGAGAAGGGTTCGTGCCCCACCTGTCCTCATGCAATCGCCCCAACAAAATGTTAATAAACTAAGCTTTAAGTTAAAATGTATTTTATTAACATGACATTTTAAAAACATAAACATGACAGTAGATAAAAATAATAATGCAATTGTGTTTGTATTTTGCCTCTGATAACATCAAATTCAGAAACGGAGAAAATAAAAGTGTGGACTAGATGTGCTTTGCTTTATTTTGTCACTTCGCAAACTGCATCCAAAAAGAACAAACAAAATTGAAAAAGAATAATAAAAATCTTTCCTGGCTCAAAACGAGGCGGAGGTGGTAAAATCCTAATAATGTACGTATTTTAGGTATTTTTATAATAATAATTGTATTTTGTATTTTTCGAAGACTATCATATAAGCTACTGTGTTTCCCACAGTATTTTGTGTGTGGTGTGGAGCTCTGCACCCCTAGGGGGGTCCGGGGGCATGCTCCCCCGGAAGAAAAGTTTGTACGTTTTAAAGATAAATTCATAAATATGGTGCACTTTGAAAGTTAAAAATTAAGTGATTAACTAATTTAATGTCTGCAATGAGCCTGTTTTTTAGTAGGCTACACATATTTTCTGAACCAGAAAATCGCCGCTCACCGCTTGACATCACAACTATTCAGTGTTTTCAACCACATAATGTTTATTTTAGGTTTCAGACATTTAAATTCACATAAGTAAGTTATTAAAAAAGCAATACATTTAGAGTTTGTCAAATACACACTTATGTCTATGGAAGCGGGAATAATAATTATTTCCATTATAATTAGATGACACGTATTATTCATATCAAATACACATCGTGTAAGTAAATTTCAAGTTTACTCTATGCTTCTCTCAGTTCACCAGCCACTTACTTTCATACTTTCATTTCGGGAGAAGTGGATAAATTGACGTTTGTTAAATCCAACAGATCCGATTCTCTAAAATCCGGCATAAACTAACGCCCATCGCGTATAGCTCAACTAAGGTGTTTAAACAACAAAACACATCCACTTGCTCATATTTGACAATCGGAATATCAGATATTTCCTGCTATAGCCAACACATTTGTGAAATAAAAGCAGATAATCAGTCATTCAGCGCTATTGTGGCTGCGGTGTGACAAGCAATGACGCGTCACCATGGAAACCATAAAGGGATATGATCTAAATAACAGGCGCCTCTAAAAACGTTTAAACTTACGTGTGAAAAGGTTAAGTAAGGCTTCCATTTAAATGTGTCGTTGTTTTGTTTTGAGTTTATGCTCAATAAATAAAGGAATTAATAGAGATGGGCACAAAAATGACCACATTTTCTCCCGTTTGTCGCGCCCCACTTGTCATGTTTCTATTCCCCACCAGTGGGGCGCGCCCCACACTTTGAGAAACGCTGCATTAAACCTACCCCTAAACAGAAAACTTATGCGAGTAATGCGACGTACTGCTGATATTTACGCTACTTCCGACGTCACAAGTTGCGCTTTAGGCGTAAGTAGACTGCGTATGGCCGTTTGGATGGAAGCTAGAATTTTACTTTGTAGCGAGTTAAATATGGATATTTTTCATACACAAACTCATCGCTTCACTTCAGAAGGCCTTTATTAACCCACGGAGTGGATTACTTTTATGATGGATAGATATGATGGATGGACTTTTATGGACTTCAAAACAGAAACGGCCGTTCACTGCCATTATAAAGCCACTTTATATAAGAGCCAGGACATTTTTTTACATAACTCAGATTGTATATGTCTGAAAGAAGAATGTCATATACAGCTAGGATGGCTTGAGGGTGAGTAAATCATGGGCTAATTTTCATTTTTGGGTGAACTATCCCTTTAATTTGTGTAAGGGTGAATTAAGACTTTTTAAGACCTTCAGAAACCCTGTAGAAGCTACTCACCTCCTTTCTCTGTGGTCCAGTAGATGAAGAGATTCATGGTTCCGACCTCAGTGATCTCCTCATTGTCTCCGTACAGCCAGAGGACCTGCTGGCAGCCCTGCCTGGCCGCCTCGCTCTGAACGGCGATTGTCGGTCCGTAGTTACTGGAAAACATAAAGCCACAATTACAGAGCTGCATTCAGGGCACAAAAACAATGGGTTAGTATGTTTAAACCAAACATTTGAAAAGGAAGAAGTTTATAACAAAGAGTGAAAACACTGATTCATAATATAAACAGACATATGCTGTCTACACATTATCTGAACACTACGGGACAGCAGCAAAAAGCTTTGCTAAAGTGGACTTCAAATACTTAATGGGACAGTGAGACAAGGACTGATAAGAGAGTTGAGACAGATACAGAATATAAACAGAAGCCAGAGCTGTATTAGTGTGAAGGGTCAGAAAACCGCTGAGGATTTACAACAATCCACATAAGCACATGACTAGCTTAATGCAGCCTGTGCAAGGCTGAAATTCTCTGAATGACCTAAATGTGAACATCTACTCATAGGACTCCACATTGGTGCAAAACAACAACATTTACTTTGAAGCATTCAAAGGGCAATGGAGTGTGACAAACAAATAATCTCCAGCCGAAGTGTAACTGCTCTTCTGCAATTCATGACTTCACCATTTAAACAATCGAGAAAATGCCTCACTATTCCTGCAACAACGGGAAACTGGATACAAGTTTAATGCAGAGAAGTAACATTTGAAATGCTTTTCAATAATGCTCATTCAATAATAGTAGAAATAGTACAAACCAGAGAAAATGGTTTCAAAAAGTTCAGTGACAAATATAAAGGTCCCACTTTATATTAAGTGTCTTAATATAAAACTGCTATGTACTAACACACTGTTGACCCTTTCCTTACCCCTTAAATCTGCCATACCACCAAACCTGTCTCAATAGCAGCAAAAGTGTTTTGCTGTACAACATGAACACAATAATTACATTGTGCCTTACATTTTTTTTAATGCAAGTAGCCAAGTACATAGTTGTTAAAAACACCTAATATAAATTGTGACCAAAAATAATAATTAAATAAATTAGCAGGGTTAATTAGGCAAATGTGTTTTATTAACACCAAAAAAATAACACCAACATTTTTCCATCAATGAAAAATATTTTCATTTTATTCACGTTGTACAACTATGTATAATGTATGCTTATGCTCATTTGCTAATGAGGAATATATGTGACCAAGTCTTTGTGAAAACTCACCCTCCCATCTTGTATTCTCCAACGCCGCCCCTCCAGGCCCGAACGTATCGAGGATCTGCCAGCAAAGACACCGGACTAAAGGCTCCAGTTGCAAAATAAGGTCCAACGGGTCCAATAATGACAAAGAGCAAAGCCTGACCAGCTCGAGACACACCTAAAGAAGGCTGAAAAAAATAAGGATGGTCACAATTAAAAATGAAAAGACCAAAATCATTCAACAGATTACACTCACTGGCCACTTTATTAGGTACACATTGCTAGTTCTGGTTTGGACACCATTTTGCCTTCAGAACTGCCTTATTTCTCATGGCATAGATTTAACAAGGTGCTGGAAATATTCCTCAGAGATTTTGCTCCATATTGACATGATAGCATCACAATTGCTGCACATAGATGATGTGAATCTCCTGTTCCACCTCATCACAAAGGTGCTCTATTGGATTGAGATCTGGTGACAGTGAATTCATTATCATGTTCAAGAAACAAGTTTGAGATTACTCGAGCTTTGTGACATGGCGCGATATCCCGCTGGAAGCAGCCATCAGAAGATGACCACTGTGGTCATAAAGGGATGGACATGGTCAGCAACAGTGCACAGATAGGCTGTGGCATTTAAACAATGCTCAATTGGTACTAAGGAGCCCAAAGTGTGTCAAGAAAATATCCCCCACACCCTTACATCACCAGCAGCAGCCTGAACCGTTGATGCCAGGCAATGTTTTTCCAATCTTCTTTTGCCCAATTTTGGTGTGCCCGTGTGAATTGTAGCCTCAGTTTCCTGTTCTTAGCTGACAGGAGTGGCACCTGATGTGATCTGCTGCTGCTGTAGCCTATCAGGTTCGATGTGTTTGCGTTCTTCTGCAAACCCCGGTTGTAACGAGTGGTTATTTGAGTTTCTGTTGCCTTTCTATCAGCTCAAACCAGTTTGGCCATTCTCTTCTCTCCTCTGGCATCAACAAGGGAATTTTTTGCCCACAGAACTGCCACTCACTGGATATTTTCTCTTTTTCGGACCATTCTCTGCAAACCCTAGAGATGGTTGTGCGTGAAAATCCCAGTAGATCAGCAGTTTCTGAAATACTCAGACCAGTCCATCTAGTATCAACAACCATGCCACATTCAAAGTCACCTTTCTTCTCCATTCTGAATGCTCAGTTTGAACTTCAGCAGATCGTTTTGACCATCTCTACATGCTTAAATGCATTGATGTACTGCCATGTGATTGGCTGATTAACAGGTGTACCTAATAAGGTGTCTGGTGAGTGTATATTTGAACATTTAAGGTTTCTTACTTCAGTTCCTATAAACGTGGGTCTGATGTACAGACTGGCGTCTGTGGAGTAAGGAACCCATTCTTGGTCGATCTCGACCAGCTTATTGATACACTTAACCAGTTCGACCTTATCAAACAACTAGAAAAGACAGACAGGGAAAATATGTTGATGGAAAGAGATATAGTCCACAGATTGGCTCATTTGAAATGTGATAATATCAAAGAGCATCAGTCAATAAACTAAAGTAGGTCTGTAAATGCCTAATTGGATAAGATGAAGACTAACAGGTAGGCAGCTCCTTTCAGAGCTCCGGTACATTCGCTCCATATTCAACATAGGTCTGAAGAGACGGATACGGTTATCTACTCCCCGGAAGGCCTTCATGCCCTCAAATAGCTGCGAATAAAACAGAAGAACAGAAAAGATCAGACTATATATATATATATATAATATAATTATAAATATTGTTGGTACTCAATTATTAATAAAAGTTCTTATTATTATCAATGTTGATTTTTTTTTGTGTGCAGATTCATTTTTTGTGGAAAGGATGATACATGTGATACAATTTTTTTTCAGGATTCTTTTAATGAATAGAAAGTTCAAAAGAACAGCATTTGAAATATAAGTCACTTAAATAAAAGTCATCCTTGATGAATTAAAAGTATTCATTTTTGACCTCAAACTTTTGAGCGGTGCTGCATATAACCTTCATTGTTGAGCTGAATAATTAACTATATATTAATCAATAATATTTTATAAAATGTGTAAAAAGAAGATTATGAATTATAAACACACACACAAAACAATAAAAATAAATGAAGACAATAATAAATGAGATAAGTACATTTATAACTTAATTGCAATTGTAATATAGAGGAAAAAATTGTGCAGTCATTATATTTCTAAATTTGTACATGTCTTGGTGCAGAGCATCTGACAGAATTCAGGTAAAAACAGCAGAGTTGGAAAATAAAGCCAAGTTGCTTTTGGCTAAATGAGAAAAAGATGCTAAGAACCATGTGATTCACACACTCCCTTACCTCTATGGAGTAATGCAGGGCTGAGGAAGCAGGATGAAGGGACAGATTCTGGAAAGGCTTGATCTGAGGTGTCTCCCATCCTCCTGCAGCAGACCAACTGATGGTCAGCATGTGGTCTGAAAACTGCTTGCCAAACACAAGGGTCGAAGGGTCCGGCTTTGGCTTCAGTACAGGGTTCCTCTCTATAGTAAGATCTGCAGCCTGACACAAACAAAAATGGAGAGAAAGACAGAAAAAGAGGGAGAGAAAACGAAAAGACAGAGAGGGGCGGGGGAGTACAGCGGGCATGTGGACAGGTGTTTATTATCATTGATTGCACATGCATTTGAAAAATGAATCTGGATTCATCATGCCAGTCAAGCTCTTATAGAAATTGAATTCAATTAAATTGCAGTGAGAATAAAGGAAGAAAGAAAGCGTGCAAGAGGGCAAAGGCACAAAGAAAAGAGACGTCAGATCCCACAAGGTGACACCGTGGCCTGCTTAACACTTCAGAAACTACAACTCAGGATGAGCCGCAAAACTTTACAGGTCTGGAAAACATCTGCATTGCCAAAAATGTGATTTTACCGACTCTGAGGTAAAACTGAAACAATTGCACAAATTCACAAGACCTGAGGCCCAGGCTAACCAGGCTGGTGGAATGGAAATAAAAGTGGTGCGTGAACCTGGCTTGACAGGTTTGTTTTAATACCTTGAAGGAGGAACTGACGAACCGCAACGACCCACATGACAGGGAGAGAGGATGAAGAAAGCGTCCATTTAGTGCCTTAAAACACAGAAACAGAGTGTGACTTCAACCATTTCCTTTCATGTGTTGTTTTTGACAGCTGCTGTTTAGCCCTCACGAGATGTGAAGGTTGAGTATGTACCATCTGTATATGTACCTGTATTTATGCACAAGGAGACAGCTGGGTCACACAATAACCGTGCTTTTAATAGCTAAAACCCCTGAGTGAATCAGCAAAGTGAAAGAAAGTATTGCTTTCTAAAACTAAGACACACACCAGTAAGCTCCTCTTCTAATTCGTTTTCTTTGCATGTTTTATTAGGCATTTGTTTGCCTAATAAATAATGTAGCATGGCTACACCATAGCTTGCTGCTCGGTCTGTTGGGTAAACTCTCTCAACTCTGTGCATAATTTGGCAAACAATGCGTCTTATGGAAAGATGCTTGACCATTAGTTGAAGTTCCTAAAAAAACTAGCCTATATTATTGCAACTAGTATTAATTTTAATTAATAGCAAGTAACCCAATAGTTTCTAGTATCTTTTTCAACTTCACAAAAATAACCATTCATTAAATTAGCATTTACTTCTTTGCTACTAGCCACTATCCAGGTATGGTCAAGTAACTATAACACCTCTGGTACTGGTAACAAATTGAAATGTGGATAGAATCCAAAGGTAAAAGTTGAAACGACTCACTATTTAGTATCCCAATTATAACTAGTATTAACTATTGAGTAAAGTAGTACAAATGTCTTAGTATCTATCTGGAGAGTACCATCTAATTCAGTTAGTATGATTTCTTATCTCACTTGTTAACATATATTTACCCCGACATATGTAATGAATACTAGTCAGAACCTTTTAGTTGAATATAAAAAAACTAGTAAGATTGAACATTTAGTTAAATGTAACTAAAGAATAAGAACTAACACCTAATGGCAAGTCTCAAGTAAAACAGGAATAGGTACCAGCACCTGGACTACATACTAGTTGGAAATGAGTAGATATATCACAGATCCATATTGATTTTATTTGCAAATATGAACCAGTAAAAGTTACTTGTTGGATAGTGACTAGAAGCAAAGGAACACTAATGTCCCGTGAATAATCAACTACAAAGATATGGGTCACTACTACTGTAATTAATAGCTACAAGAGCTCTGTCTAACAAATAGTTAAATTGAAAGTAAAATTAAAAATACAGCCTCATAGTTCTAAAATACTAGTAATTAAAAAAAACATGCTGGCAACATAAATAGATAATAGTTATGTCATTGAATGAATGTTAAGTCTGCATCCGGAAATACGTGGAATTTAAGCTGCAGTCATTAATAGCGCAAGCGTTCACCCGCGATTTGCAGGTACATTTGAAAGCAGAAATTCAGAGTAATACAAAATAAAATAAAAACGTTTTAACCTAAATATAAAACCAAACACTTAAAAATATCCCTCCTGCACTTGTGATGATTGAAACTTGAGTGTTGTCGATTTGCAACGTCGATGACCCGCAGTTTAAATCTGCTTAATATAGTTCTGTTAAATATACTCCCGACACACGTCGAGTGTGTTTACAGAGCCATTAATTATTGATAGAATGATTTGGAGATGTGGTGGCGAAGATAAGTGAATTGATCTTTGAACTCACCGTCCTGAGCGCTGCCATTGCTGCTGAGAGATGAATGGTAAACTAGTCCGAGTGGGAGCAACTGCCCCAGACTGACGGATCTCTGCGTTCCGGATTGGAGCCCTGAAGAAACAACGCAAATGTGCTCGGGTTTTAAAACAGTAAAGCTTATTCTCATCCTTTTCAATACAAGCCAGTGTGATATTCGCATCAAAATTCTTGTTCTAAATATATTAGATGCTGTTATTTGTTATGCCACTAGGATAAGCCTGCAAAACTAGAAACTTTCTAAATGAGTAGAACACTTTTAGATTTCTGACCACTCATTCGATAATCTTTAATAAATAAGTATGAATCGATTATATCATTACATCTTTATTTGAATTTAAAAATGCATTAATATTACAAACAAAACAATTCCCATCCATCAAAGGGTTAATAATAACCCGCGGGTAGGAGTGACGGATCTCTCGTATCTGATTGGATAAAACGAGTTGTGGTCAAATCAACGAGGTTAAACAAGGTCATGAGAGAAACATTCCATTCATGTGTATGTGAGGCGTTGGTCCGATCCGGCTTAATGATTGGTTTTTAGAAATTCGAGGAAATATGTTTTATGTCAATACCTTCAGATGATGATGTCATACAAATAAATATAGGCTGTCAACTGTGTTGGTCGCTTTAGAGTTCACAGAAGACTGAAACCCAGTTTCTGTTTGCATAATTAATTGACTGTCTCAAACTTTCAAATTCAGGATTTACTAGCTCTTTTAATGGCTGTATCATTTTGATATCAAAGGACTCACGACAGTGTGAACACATTATTTGTCTTACATTATCTCAGAATAATCCCTTGAGTGGCACTGGACATGTTAAAGAAGGTCTGAAGTAAAATAATTTGACAACACGTGTACAATAATTAAGCTTTTTAATTGGTAGCCTACAAAAAATTGCAGAAATACAATGTATGAAACAAATCACATCCTATCAAGAGTCATTTATTAAGTTTCAAAAATCACTCAATTACACTACACAGTTCAAATACAGATTATTATGTGACACACTGGCCTGGAAATGTTTACTTGTAAACATCAGTCTTTGCAAGCTCATTCATGGTAATGTAAATTACAGTTCAGGTCCCTTTCATATAACTACAGTAATATTTGCATTAATAAAAATGAAAAAGCTTTTAGATTAATTAAAATTTTGTACATAACATTGTACTTATTTGTATAATTGCACTTTAACAAAGGCACCTTAACAAAATTAACCAAAATCTCATATTTTGTTGGTAAATAGTTGCATTTTGAAGCAGCACTGCCTCAAAAGCATCAAAAAAGCTGTCTGAGAGGAGGAATGAAACCATATTATCATTTCAAGGACCTTTCCATCATTGTTCAGTTATGGAACTTGGCTTTTGAAGCCGTAGTTCAGTTCGGCCCCTCCGCTTAGAAACAAATCTATCCCAGTACAGAAAGTGGCATCAGCTGCCAAGAAAAGAGCAGCTAATCCACTCTCAGCCTCCGTTCCCATTCGACCAATCAACTGTTGAGTAGAAAATTGTTACTATAACATATCCAGCAGAACACCAGCTTCTTCTATTGCTCATTTGCCCTTATGAGCATTTACCTGAGAATTTTCTCCCCCCTTAATAGTGGTAGAAGGGTTTTCGGTTTGGCCAGCAAGCTCCTCCCACAGAGATGTCATTACATTGCCTGGAGAGATGCTATAAAAGAGTTTGAATTTAAAGCCTGGTAATAAACATAATTAACAAACAATGTTCACAGATGGAAATTCCGTAGGATCAGAGAAAATAAACGAGTAGTTTATATATAAATAAAAAAGCAAGGAACCGTTAGATGGCAGGGTGATAATGTCACTCACCAGTTGACTCTCACTTGATAGCGACTCTCATCCACAGCCATTGCTTTAGTCATGGCGGTGATCGCCCCCTTGTGGAAATATGGAAGTATTGCTATTACTTTCAAGATGATCACTTGCATTTGGCACAATCAGAAAAACTCACCTTGGTTGCTACGTAGGTAGCTGCGTCTTTCTGACCTATAGAGGCGACAAGGCTGGATAAATTGATGATGTTTCCTTGCGTTTTGCGCAGATACGGCAGTGCATACTGCCCAGAGGTAATAAAAAGAGGTTATAGTTAAAAGATAAAATAAAAATATCAGTCATACTGCACAAGTAAGGAGACCAGAGTGTTATGTTACTTGAGATTTTACCTTGGAAGTAAGGAAGTAGTTGATGAGGTTCAAATTAAGCAGGTCTCTAAACTCCTCAGCAGTGGTTTCATCTGTGGGCTTGTGAGGGGGGTCTGATGTATCATTTAGGGATTTCAAATAAAATCAGTATTATTAGACTATTTATTTATTTTTAATCATTATTTTGAAATAAATTATTATTACTTTCTAAATAAATGTAAAAGTCCTTGGTTAAAATAATCACCACAAAATAGTGTAGAACAAAATAAAGTTTAAACTTTAAGTACAAAAAAGACCCTTTGACTTACGCCACCCAGCGTTGTTCACCAAACAGTCGATTTGTCCAAATCTCTCAATCGTCTCACTTATTAATCGCTTCAAGGTAAGATATGATAAAAAAAAAAAAAAACAATACATTTAGAATATAACTTTTTTTTGGTTCTTATATAAGCTATTATAAAATGAAAAATCATACATAATCCGAATTATTTAATTTTATATATATATATATATATATATATATATATATATATATATATATATATATATATATATATATATATATATATATATACGTATAGCCTATAGTTATATATATATATATATATATATAAAGCCTTTATACATTATATTTTACAATACTAATCTCAAGTTTTAAATGGAAACATTTTTCAAACATGAAAAAAAAAGAACCCTAAAACCATAAAACGTTAAACTGCTAAAGCTTTAATGAATGAATAAAGTAAAGTTTGAGAGGAAGAAGATAAAGGGGTAGGACAGAGACTGAGGTGAGTGACAATTATGAATGCAACCATACAATGAACGCCTGTGCATACCTTGATGTCATCTTCTTTTGTCACGTCACATGACAAAAACATGCATGATCCCGGCCCTTCCTTATTCAGCACAGACTCAAGAGACTGGCCAGCTGGCAACTCAGCTGACAGTTATAGGAAAAAGAAGGAAACGTTATCGCATTTATTGCTGTAATCAACCAATCTTCAAAAGTATATTCAAATCAATCACATACTCTCTTGAGCGCAGAACACAACTTTGGACCCATTTTGAACTGCAAAGCAAACAGGACAATATTCTTATTCACTCTTCCTTTACTTTCGATTTATTAATGGAAAGATATGTTCTATAAATCCTTACCAAACACTTTAACGATGCCCCTTCCAATGCCTCTAGTGCCCCCAGTCACGATGACAACTTTGTTGACATACCGCTGAGCACAAGCCATGTCACTACTGTGCGCTATGCGTCCACGTATGCGTAGCCTATTAATGCAGGAAATAAAATAAAAATGGCAAGTGTCTGCACCTGACAGTTTCTGCTCGGTTACTAATTCACTAAAATCATATGATAGAAGAAGTAGCACCCGATATCACGTGTGCGTGCTTGCGCGTGTCAAATAGAGAAGTTCGCTTCCTGGATTCTTCTTTGTTTCGAATCGCTTTTAACGAACTGAATGAACCAGTTTACCAAGTCCGGCTGAATCGTCTGAAATATCCTATAGGCCAGTGGTTCCCAAACTGTGGTCCGCGGACCACTAGTGGTCCGTGAGGGTACTGCAGGTGGTCCGTGGAAAGACAAAATAAAATACAAAATAATTTTTTTTTACCTTCATTTTACCAGGAAATTCCCATTAAAAAAAAAAAAGTAAAAAGAATATGTAGGCATATATTGATATAAAATTTAAATTAAATTGTCAAGTTATTGTGTGATTACTAAAATAGGCTAGTGGCCTATTTCGGATCGGTGGATAGCAAGGTTCTCTGAAGAGAAAAGAGGCAGAGGCAAATATTTTGACATTTATATTAAATATTTGTCTGATTTTAATTTCACCAACAGTAATTCTGGATTGCCTCCACCAAACAAGTAAATAAGAAATAAGCAAATCAGAACACTGCTCGCCAAAACAGCAGTATGCGCGCAAGCGTGAACCACTAGTGTTTCTTGCTGTATCTTTTACTGGGGTCTCCAACACGTCGCTCGCGAGCTACCTGTAGCTCGTGGCCTGATTGGAGGTAGCTCGTCAAGGGCTACATATCGTGTCGTTTGCGCTCTCAAGTTCGTTATTTCACGTAGGCGCACGGCAAGCCCGCTCATAATTGAAGCGACACGCTCATTTTTTCCAGGTGCAGCGAGATGAAAACACCTGAACTTTTCATAATGCCGCAAACGCACCGCAGTTCATGTGACAAGAACAAACCAATCAGCTTCATCCTTTCCGTAAACATTGAAAGCTCAGTCAACATGAACAATGGGGGTGCACCCGGTCCCAAACACTACGGGTGTTTTTCTCTTCTCCGTAAATAAATCTTGAAGCAGAGCTATAGCAAGCGTTTTTCGATGGTGTAAATCTATTAGCTACTAAAACTTCTTTGTCGTTGTGGAGAGCGCAGTGCATGGTTGCATAGCAACGACAGACAGCACGGGAAATCGGACCGAATTTTACTATTAATAATAAAAGATTGCTAATGTGCATCAATGTAAATGGCAAGTAATTTATCTTTTTTTGACTAATTCTTTTTATAAAAATGATTTAAAGGCTGAAATATGTGAGGTTTATCTTTTTATAAAACCTTTTTTTTCAAAACTTTATTTGAATTTCATTTTACTATATGGGTGGCAGGGGTTGGCGGCAGTGCAAGTATCTGGATATTTGCCGCGGGGCGAGGGCTTCGATTACCTCTCTCTTTTTTGACCATACATGTTTGCATCCCTGAAATGAACCTGATTATGCCCTCGGGCGCTTGAGTAAATAAATAAATTAAATATGTGGGAGCCGTTGTGTGCAGTAAACGTTCTTTTAACAAGCTGTTGTACTGATGTGATGACCAGTTATAGTTTTAGTGCTAGTAAGCCTATTTAGAGGTGCGGATTAATTCAGGTAGGACTGTGTGTAGACATATTTTATTATGTGTATTATGAGGTGGTCCGCGAAAATTCTTGATTACAAATAGTGGTCCACACACACAAAAAGTTTGAAAACCCCTGCTATAGGCTACCTGATATTATGGAGTTAATATTGTGCCATAATTAAACAAACAAATCCAGCATTTTGCAAACAAACTCGATCTGTTTTGCAAAGGAAACTCGACTCGCAAACAAACAAAGCAATGTGCAAGTAGGCTTTAATGGTCAATTTGAGCGAATTAACCTTTTTGAGGTTTTCTTTTGCAAAATGTTATTACATATCTAGGCAGAAACCCACATTAGCACTTAACACTTCACTCTCTCTAGGATAGGGGAATCTATAGGCCTAAGCTGAAAGCTCTGCCATCACATTTTTGTAAACGTTACATTTACTGAACGAGTCTATTTCTTTCGTTCTCCATAAATTAATGAGAACATTTCATTTAATTGAAAGGAGGGTCCCACTTATTTATTTAATTAGTAGGAATTCAATCAGCTTAACTGTTAATGTAATAATGAATGAACAAAACAAACAATATGATGTAGGCCTATGCAGTGCCCAAATTATTATTTTGGGCAGACAAATGAAACCCTCTTTTCAATTAGCCTAAATGAAATGTTCTCATTCATTTATGGAGAACGAAAGAAATAGACTCGTTCAGTGTAGACATAATCTAATTTAGTCATTTTGCAGCGCGTCCGATGTAGAAAAAATGTAAAAAACCAACATATAATGGCAGAGCTTCCCCTATCCTAGAGAGAGTGAAGTGCTACTAAGTGGTAATGTGGATTTCTGTCTAGATATGTAATAAACATTTTGCAAAAGAAAACCTCTAAAAGGTTATTTATAGATAAAGGCCACATTTACACATAGCCGGGTATTTCGAGAAACGAAAACCCGCGCTTTCTGTCCCTCCTTTGAAAATGTACGTACAGTACTGTCCTTGTCCAGAAAGGATATATAGAAATCATCAAAGTAGTCCATGTGACATCAGTGGGTTAGTTAGAATGTTTTGAAGCATCGAAAATACATTTTGGTCCAAAAATAACAAAAACTACGACTTAATTCAGCATTGTATTGTCTTCCGGTTCTGTTGTCAATCCGCTTCAGTGATGCTGCTGACGTAAGACGCTGCTGACGTGTAATCTGGTGCGTCCGTGTATTCAGGTTCAAATAAATATGGCTGGGCAAAAAAATGCAAGTCTTCCTCCGTGTCGAAATCCTTAGACATGTTTGCGAAGATTGTTTTGTTTACAGCGTGCGTCTCCCTCAGACTATAAACGAAGCTCGGGCGCACTGATAACACATCAGAAGCGTCTTACGTCATCAGCGTCACTGAACGCAGGTATACACTGCGATTTTCATCCCATTTTGAGCCGAATTCTCACTCATGCGATTCTTTTTCGGGTCCGGCCGATTTTCAGCTTTGTCATGCGTCGTTTCGTTTGTCGTGCAGTGTACAGGGGGAAACGAGAGGCGATTAACCTCTCCCGTGAGGCAATCTGTGAAATATTATCTAGGCTTCATTTATTTATATTTGCAAAACACACTGTGCGATTTTCGTCCGACTTTGAGCCGAATTCTGACTCGTGCGACTCTTTTTTTGGGTCGGGGCGATTTTCAGCTTTGTCGTGCGTCGTTTGTCATGCTGTGTTCATGCAGTGTACGGGGGAAACGAGAAGCGATTACCGGTACCTCTCCCGTGAGGCAATCGGATGGTCGGATGGATAGCTGGCATGTCAGAAATTTTGCTCCTCGTGACTATATTGCACTGTTGAAGCAGAGCTACCTAAACTCAGTGCTTTTTCCCTCACTGCGCGAAAACAGAAGTTTAATCATTTCATCTGCAGCAAGAAAGAAAAAGAAAAGAGGGAGACTATCAAACTAGCTACACATTACTATTACTTACCTCCAGTTTGTGTTGCAAAATGGATAAACCATAGGCTACCCACGTCTTCCAAGCCACCTGCGATGTATCTACACCGTGCCTCTTTAATTTGTTAAACAATGTCCATGTTAAACAAACTGGGTAACGCTTTAGATTACAGCCCGGAAAGTACTGTGTAATTAAGAGGAATTTGAAGTGTAACTTTCTGTAATTATAGTGTACCTATAGTACTTACATGTAGCCTAAGTATAAGGGAACAATATGTAAAGTTTGGGGAATAAAGGGGTAACAACCAGAAGAAATAAAAAAATATTTATACTGTAAGTATTATAGAACTAAGGGGTACTTATTCTACTGTTATGATACAACAATCTTACATTTGGGAGCAATTTAGCGAGAACATACACTGCGTACCTTTTTGTAATAATTGTGTACCAAGGCAATACTGTATAGGCTTTTTTTTTTTAAATGACAGGGTAGGCCTACATATCTATGCATTTATAAAAATAAAAAAAAAGTGCAGATGTTTAAGTTTGGGCTAACATGTTTCAAGGCAAGAAAAGCTAAGACTATTGCCATTTTTTTAAAATATATGGGAAATGTATCTGGTTTCATGTGGTTACAGGGTAAGTGGTGCTTGTATAATAAATAAAGGTTTCCGAGTCAGTGATATAAGATTGTGTATGCATTTTTATTGTACTTACCCTGTAACTACATGAAACAAGAGGGTAACAAGAACCACTTTAATTTACAGCCCGCAATGTTACACTTACCCTGTAACTACATGAAACAAGAGGGTAACAAGCACCACTACATGAAACAAGTGTATCTTTCCCCAATATTTAAGCAAAAGTTGCAATAGTTTTCGTTTTCAGTGCACTTTTGTTAAAAAAATTACTTTATAAATGCATAGATATGTACCCTGTCATTTTTAAAAAGCCTATACAGTATATACTGGTTCACCATTATTTCAAAAAGGTACGCAGTGTATGTTCTTGATAAATTGCTCCCAAATGTAAGATTGTTATATCATAATAGTAGAATAATTAAGTACCCCTTAGTACTATAATACTTACAGTATAAATATTTTTATGTTACCCCTTTATTCCCCAAACTTAAAATATTGTTCACTTATACTTATATCGTAAGTACGTTATAGGTACACTATAATTACCGAAGGTTACACTGTAAAATCGCTTTAATTACGCAGTACTTTCCGGGGTGTAATCTAAAGCGTTACCACAAACTGTTTTTGAAATAAAGCTGTTTTGACTAATTATTGCAGTGTTCGGAAATATTATGGACTGTTAATAATTTTAATTACAGGCCTGTAATGTAATCGACCTAAATGTTTTTAGACATTGAGGAGGAGTAAGCTTCTATGTAATCTTGTATTATCCTCACAACGCGTTGGTTATGCGGTGATGCGCTATGAAATTATTCCGTGGCAAATTAATTATAATAGCCTATCAATTTAAAGGTTCTCTAAGCGATCCTGGGTGACGTC